AAATAAATATTAAGAAAACGAGTGTATTCAGTGACCCGTACAAAATTATCATAATTGTGTTATACTTGGACTCGCCTTTCAACAATTTCAATCACACATACATAAGCACAGTAGGGCTGGATAATCCGACGTGGTATTAGCCGGGGAAGTAGTTGTTTTTCGACAGACGTTCACCACACCCACACCCTACTGTGTAGGTAGTTGGGAGAGAATAATATTTCGAAATTTATTACGAAATATTCATTTCCTTACGGCTAATTTTTAATTTTTTTAATTAATATATTTCAATTTGTAGGCGAAATTTATCATACAGCATGTACTGACTAATTTGACTTAGTAGTAGTTAATAATACGCAGTAACAGCAGATCTCTATTGATTTAACTTTCTTTTTTTGGTAAATTTTCGTTATGTGGACACCCGGCGATTTTGAAAAAATTTTTGACTGTACTTACGTATTTTGATGCGTAGATTACGAATCCAATTTATATTATATTGGACAATGGAAGTCCGAACTGATGAAATAATAGCTTTATTGTCCAACAGTTACCCATTTACAGGACAATATAAAATTTTATTCACAATACATAACCATAAACAACGAAAAATACAATGAACGAAAAGAAAAACTAATTCTTATTACCTACTTCAAGTACACGTTTGCAATTCTAATAATGTTACGAAGGTTAATGGAGAATATATCATATAGGTATTGGAGAATTGAGCATAATGTTAGTTCTTGCTCTGAGAGGTTTAAAAAAGGACTGAGATCGTGAAACTGTGATACATTGAAGAAAAATTTGTTCCAGAATTTTAGGACAGTCAACTCTCTCATTCACTAATTTGAATAAAAATATGAGCGACACACATTTTTTGCGATGCTCTGAACTAAAAAGTTCCAAACGTTCACATATGACATCATTAATGATACCTCTCTCAGGGTAAGAACACTATTCTGAAAATTAGAAATTTACAAAACTTTCTTTGAACTCTTTCAATGGCTATGTTATGAATCCTATAGAATGGACTCCAGAAAATACTTGCATATTCTATCTTTAAACGTACGTATGTGAAATACAACAGCTTCATAGCTTTAATATTATGAAAGTTTCTGCAATTTCTAGCAATGAAACCATAAACTTTCAAAGATTCTGAAACTTTTTGTGAAATATGTCTACCAAATGTTAATTTGGTAGGTCTTTGATCTCATTACATCTCAGCAGATCTGAATCCTGTATTACATACGGAAATGTATAACCCTTTTTTTTTTCGACTATAACTCACTACTTTACATTTCTCCATAGTGAGTTTCAATTTATTACTGCTGCACCAGGCAACAAGAAATTCTAATTGAGATTGAATATTTACACAATCACCTAGAGAAGCTGGTATACATTTCAAACATCTTCTCTGAAGAAATATATGTCATTGTTCTTATCATTAGTATGATTTAACTAAAACATTTTTCTCATTATCGTACCTTTCTTTACTCAGGGGAAACTTATAAGCCCCATTGTCTGTATAGTGTTCAATTGATGAAGGTTATTGTAGCAAAAAAATGATGTAACAATTCAACAGAAGACTTTTTTGAACCTTGGAAAAAAATTTCACTTACAGTGTTTAGTGATCGATCCTCAAACAAGCTCAACATAGAAATTAATGAAACTACATACCCATCATCCCTCCCCACATATTAGGGCCCCCCAGACTGGGCCCGCTAGCTATGGAAATGACATCCTGAGAACTGGACATATTCGAATCGGAATCGTAGGATTTTTCTGTGTCCCTCCTGTCCCTTGAGCTCTTGCCAGTGCTTCTGGACCTTTTGTCTGAAGGACTCTGGCTGGAGTCGTCCTTGTCATCTGCAGACTTGGTGTTCCTCTTGGTGAATTCCAAGGGAGCATCGTTCAGAGCCCCACCGAACATGACAGGTGCTAGTCCTGTAGAAGACAGGAATGGTTAGGAGATCAAGTGTTTTCAGAGATGTATTGAATTGACAATTTGAACCGAAATGATAAAACCAACTCACATAGCTAATGCGAGGGAGCAATGACCACTTCTCGCGAGTAGAATACTATACTTTTTCTGTGACTCATGAATACATTGAACTATACTTGATGAAATTAAAAAAACTATCAGTGATAAGTGGTACAATTTCCACAGTAAATTTTATTCAAGACGTGTTTTGCTACACAGTAGCTTCATCAGTTGGACTGGCACATTAAACAATTCTACAATCTCTTTTATATGACAGTACAATAGGTAGATTTTGGGAAAACATTTACAAGATTACTTCTAGGAAAACAGGTAATTTATGTCGTATTCAATGGGAGATTTCCACTTGAAAGGTTAGAAAATTACAACACATGTTTAGCTATACGATAGCATCTTCAGGCGTCACAATACTGTGTGAACAAATTTTGACATGCTTTTACAGTAATTTGAATCATTATGACTATTACCACCTATTATATTTCTGAATAATAAATTAATTACTTAAACTATTTACCTTTCAGGGAACAATATATCAAACTGGGAAATATTGAATACAATTTTTGCCTGAGCCATCATTTTACCTACTTTTAAAATCTACCCTGATTACCAATTGCCTCAGTGTAAACAAAATTCAATAAAAAGGAACAATTTAAATCTATTTAATTATTGAGTAATAAGCCCAAGTTTTTGAATCTATTGATTTCTAAACATTCCAGAAGGTTGATTTTTGAACATTTCTCTTCCAAACGCAATACGTCATAATCGGGATTGAACTCGTGCCTCTCTGACAAAAGATGATTCGCAAATGTTGAATTGGTCTTCCCATTTGAAAAATTACTTAATTCGGTACATCTTCGAATATACTTTACCACAACAAAAGCCGGTTTGTGAAGAATATCAGAGAATAAGTTCGGAGAATTTTTTTCCTCAAACTTTTTAGACTTGGATGTCTGGCAGTTCCATAATTTCTATTCCGAGTAGAAACATTATTTCTATTTATTTTTATTAATAATAAGGAATAAAATATTTACTTCTCACTACTGTCAAATATTGTGACACTCGTCAATTATCATTCGTTGTGTCATTGTCATTCCATAGATCATAGATCATGGACACATTTGAAACTCAGTGCAGACTGACACTGACCTTTTGTTTTTAATTGGGCAAGTCCCCAAAGAACATGAAATGTATTTTGGATTTGCGGTGTTTTGTGTTTCACTTTGCTTTTATTAGGATTGAGTTTTGAGTCTGGAGTGTCTACATAACAGAATGGTACTCGATGGAGACTGAAATCATCAGGAGTTCGGATTCCTTTTCCTGCACGATTCGCGACCATGGCAGAGCCAGACTTGGAGCATTTATCTTTAGGGCACCTGCCAAAGGGGCTAATGAACTCGGTTTAGTTTTCGCCATTGAACGAGCTGCCTTACGGTTCGAAGGATATTGAATCCGTTGTAGGGGACGAGAAGTGCTGAATTTATTGAAACTATTCGTTATCCACCCCCAGGCTCATACAAACTAATGAGCATGTTGTAATTCTTCTCGTGGTGAGACAAATATCATCCGAAAAGAGGAGGAAAAATGGATAAAATATCGAACTCCACCCCAGACTCTATTCAGACTACTCTGTCAAGATGGTTGTTTTAATTATTGGAGTCCTTGGTGAAATGATGCTCTCTCCCTACTCCCGGATCTCAAGATCATTCCGACTTGCCGCATGTTGCATATTGCTATTAACGTTTTTGAAAATAGAAATCAAAGTGTACACTGGTGTACTCTTTGATAGAAATGAACAAAAGTTTTCAAAAGAAAACATGTTTTTCATTGATAAAACCGGTGCACACAAGTATGTTTCTATCTTTTATTAATGTATAAAGAAATAGAGAATAGAGACATAATGATTATGCATTGGTTTTCTAATAGTATAAGTTAAATATTCTAACCTGCAAAAAGCACAGAATTTAAGTAGTAGTAGTAGAAAATGAGGTGACGGTTTAGAATTTCAAAATAATAAATATTCGAACCAAAAATGGATTCATTACAAGATTTGGAAATAAGTACTGTAATTAATCCCCATTTGTTTTGGATAATAAGTTCGAGTGATGCCCGAACAAAAACTCTTGAAGAAATAGAAAAAAATATGAATGAGTTCTGCAAATTCAAAAGCAATGTCTCCAAAATAAATTTCGAAATCGGAGAGGTTTGTTGTTTACATATTTATCTTTTATTCAGTACTAGAAGTAACAATTCATTGTTAATGTTACTTTCAATACAACTGTTGCTGGATGAACGAGAAACGTGTGTCGGATATAATTGAGTATACATCGTGGTATTAGCCGGGGAAGTAGTTTTTTACCAAAACTCACTGTAGGTGCATTGAAAGAGATGAATGTTTCAAAATTTTATTTTGAATTACTTATTTTGTTATATGTATCTTTCCACAATAAAGTTTCAGATCCACTTTAAAATTTATTGTGGTTATACCTATCTATTTTGTGTTGGAAACTTTATAGACTAACATAGAGATTTCTTTTTTGATATACCATTTTCCAGATCGTAGCGGTCCGTGTGAAAAAAAGATTATGTAGAGCTGTTGTCGAACAAATAAAAAAAGAAAAGATCAGCTACTTGTGCTGGTTGATTGATTATGGTTTCCTCATAGAGACGGAAGTAATTTTCAAGCTGCCGTCTAGCATACGAAAGACCTCTGCACAAGCATTCCAAGCAAGCTTCAATAACGTTACCTATTTTGAGCAAGTAAGTATAATTCTAGCTTAGTAACAATATTACAGATAGTAAATTTATTGTTCAAAGATGAAATTTTGTTAGCAAAGAACTTCTTCAGTTGAAGCAATCTTGCAAAGATGGACTGTACTGTCTTTGAAGGACAAGCCTAAGTCACTTGGAAATGATTCATTACTCCACTGCTTGAGAAAATAGGCTATAAAACAGACTCACCACTATTATTTTCAGCACCTCGAATATGATGAAAGCGGAGGACCGATTATGGTTAATGAACCAACTAGAACTCCCCATGGGAACAGTCGTCAAGTTATGATGGAGTTTCTATCGCAGAGCAAATCCCTTGAATTCAAAATTGAGAACAGAGAGGATGGCATTATCTTCGGAGATATATTGTATAGAGATAACGATGATAAAGATAGGTCTCTCAGAGAGGATTTAATACAGAGGGGCATTCTGATAGAGAACAAAACAGTTTTCAAAGGTATTCCTGATAACCCATTTCAAAACCGACTTGCTATACACTGCATTTTTCATTTTCAGCAATCAGAGAATCTATAAATGACTATAAGGAGAGAAATCTCGAGAGAATAGCTAAGGTATGCAAAAGTACTAAGGAAATTTTATGGAGTCTGACTGAAGGCGATGACCTTGATGAGAAATGCAACAAATTGGTTCAGAAATACTTGGATGAGTTTGATTCTCATGACGGTTTGGGCACTGATGAGGATGAGGTGAGTTTTTTGTTATCTAAATGCTTTCCACAGCTTGTACACTTTCAATGGCCATATTTATCACCTACTTCAATATTGAACATCTGGTTCTTTTATCATTTGATGTGGATCAAACAATGATAATTGATACTATAGACCATAACTTATTAAGACTCAAACTAGAAGCTATAGGAGTTCGTGGTGTTGCTCTAGACTGGGCAACTTCTTATTCGGGCAATCAAAAACAAACTGTAGTATTATATTCCATAACATCCAAGACAAGAGAAAGTTATCATAAAGGTGTACCTCAAGGCTCCATTTTGGGGCCTCTTTTCTTTATAATATTCACGAGTGACATAAAGAACAAAGTGTCTGCATATTCGATTCTTACCAAAAAATATGAATCCTGATAATGATCTCTGCCTAACAATCAATGGAAAATTGATAGAAAGCAAAGAGAGTATGAAGTTCTTAGGTGCTGTGCTTGATGGGAAACCATATCACCACTTTATGTTCAAAACTCAGCACAATCATATACATTATTAGGAATCTGAGGGATGCAGTATCAGCTGATGCACTGAGAATTCTTTATTATGCACTGGCACAGTCAGCTATGCAATATGGGATAATAGTTTGGGGATCCTCAACTCACATACTAGGGGTTTTTCGTTCCAAAAAAAAATTAGAGCTATGAACAAAACACTGCAGGCCATTATTCATTCGTTATAGTTTATTAACAATGCCTAGTTTGTATACCTACCAAACTCTCATATACACACATCGGAAAAGTCTAGGGATATTTTTATAACATACTAAATATCATAAAAATAAATGCATGAGGTCGTTTAATTTTGATTAAATTGGTACACTCTACCACCCTGTAGATTTCTACAGGTTGAACAAAGCCTGCAAAAACAGTAACTAATCTTTCATCAAGTTTTTTACAAACTGTAGGTTTTCGGCTAAAATGAATAATCTGAAAGTGTCGAGTTTGTACATTCTATGCAGTTCTTGCTCAGCAATTAAACTGGAAATATTGTGCTTTAACATGGAACGCCATCACTTACCATTGACTGAGATGAATAGAGCTGTAGGGCTTCTTCAAGGTGGCATGCAACAAAATGATGTAGCTCTTCATTTGGGGGTCTCCCAAAGTGTTATCAGTCGATTGTGGCGGCGTTTCCGTGAAACTGGCAGTCCAGCCGAACAACATCCAGGGCGAGGACGCGCTACAACTGCAGTTCAAGACCGATTTTTGGTCTTAACCGCAAGAAGACAACCGACAATCACAGCACCTGAGTTGGTTAACGTGTTGCAGCAGACGCACCAGGTAAGCATTGGTCGTGATACTGTCAGAAATCGACTGCATGAAGCAGATCTCCACAACAGAAGGCCACTTAGATGTCCACCTTTGTCGAGAGGCAATCGCGGTAGAAGATTAGAGTGGTGTCAAGAACATAAAAACTGGGATGCAAATGATTGGGCCACAGTTTTGTTTACAGACGAATCCAGATTTGGATACAGAGGTGGTACAGTAATGCTATGGGGCGGAATCATGATCGGCGGCAGAACCGATCTCGTTTTTCCAAATCGCTCCCTCACAGCTCGACAGTACCTCGACACCATTGTTCTACCTATCGTCCGTCCGTTTGCTGGTGCTGTTGGTGAAAACTTCCACCTAATGCACGATAATGCTCGTCCACATGTGGCTGACTGGCTCACCAACGAAGGAGTTGATGTATTGCCATGGCCAGCACAATCACCGGACCTGAATCCCATCGAGCATGTGTGGGACATGCTTCAACGAAGAATTACTCCGCATATGGGGAACATTCACACAACGTTTCAATTGAGAGAGCTTTTAATCGCTGAATGGGCAAATGTACCTCAACAAGACATTGACAGTCTCATTTTGTCGATGCACGATAGATGTAGGGCCGTAATAAACCAGCGAGGAGGCCATACTTTGTACTGATTCCAATTTTTTTCGTATTATGATTTTTTTTCGGGGTGCCAAAGAAGAGCCATATTTTTTTTTAGTTTTGCTTAAATGCGCACTCAGTATTTTTGACCATTTAATAAATTTTGTTGTAAGTTACATTCGTTTAATAATCACCCGTCAACTTTTTTTTCCCTAAAGCGATCTAAAAAAAAAATATTGCCATTTTTAAAAATATCCCTAGACTTTTCCTATGTGTGTATTTAAAAAACAATATTTTAATTATTCCTAGAAATGAGTAAATCCATGAACATTTCACCGGAAATAACCCTCAACTACACCAACCCAACCTTATAGTAGATTGACAGTATCAAAGAATCACCCCATGTGCTTTGGGGTTAAGCTATATAATAAGCTTAGTGAGGACATTAAATCCTCGAATATCAATGTCTTAAAAAAAATCTGTTTAAAACCCTCAAAAGTCGAAACTTGTGCGAGCTAAGGATTATCGAGGTCTTACCTTTTAACGTGTGATTTCTAACACGGATTGTAGCTTATTAACTTTTTTTATGTATGTTTTATATTTTATATCGACTTTTTTATGTTTGTTTGACATGTTGAATTAGCCAGTATTTTATGATGTTATGTTTTTTTTTGTCTAATGTGATTGTGAAGGAAAACTGATTCAATAAATGTTTGATTGATTGATATTGTATTGCGTTTATATTGTATTATGTACTTATTATGTTTAATTTAGTTTAAGATTTTACAAACTTATTTTTATAACCGTTGAATAAGATACATAAATATTCAATTCTAACAACTTCACCATCACTTTATATTTATCTTCTAATTATGAATATTAAAAAAAGAGCAAGATACCTAAATGAAAAATAGTGAAATTCAGAAACTCCAAACACTGAATAAAAATGACATTCGCTTACCATTCTCTAGGCTTAGTGTGGGACAGAATTCTGCAAAATATCAAGGAATTCTATGTTATAACCGTTTCAATAGAATCTTTGGTGAGATAAAAAATGTTAGTACCTTTAAAACAACATTATTCAATTACCTTAATGAAAATACTTTTTATACAATAGAGGAGTACCTCACTGTTTGATGCTAATACTAGTTTTGTATATACATGTATACAGGGTGTTCCTTAAACACATGCTAATATTTAAGGAGGTAATTCTTAGACCCATTTTAAGGAAAAAACGTCCTATGGACGTATGTCCTAGGTACATGCACGATGGCGCCCCTGCTCATTTCAGTGTAATTGTCCGAAACCATTTAAATACAGTTTATCCTAATCGTTGGATAGGTCGCGGAGGACCTCAGCAATGGCCAGCAAGATACCCTGATCTCAACAGTTTAGATTTTTTTCTATGGGGTCACCTTAAAACTCTTGTGTATAAAACTCCCGTTAAAACTTAAGAAGATTTAAGAGAGCGAATAGTTGCCTCGTGTGAAACTATACGAAATACGCCGGGAATATTTGAACGGGTGCGTAATTCCATGCGTAGAAGGGGGAAAGCATGCATACTAAGTGCAGGGGCCACTTCCAACAATTTTTATAATCAGTTTTGGTATTATTACTAATTAACAAATTTGTGCTATTCGTTTAGACTTACTGTCACAAAATAAAATAAAACTCGTTTTTGTGAAAAATGTATTTTTTGCAGATTATGTTTTCAAATATTATTAGGGAATTGGTAATGCGTTATGAAGCAATTTTCGGATTCTCATTCATTTTAGAATTGATCTAATTTCTTAATTTGCTTTCTGTCGATTTTTATTTTTTTGAGTGAAAAATCATGCATCGGACAAAGAAATACCAGGAGATCAAATTTTCTCAAAAATAAATGAGGATTTTAAAAATGATTTTATTTTGAAAAGAAAGCATTGGCGTAGTACTTTTTCCCCAAAAATATTCAATGCGAAACCCATAGGGATGCCGCTGTTTGAAAAAATACAAATTTGTGTACATCAGAAAATGTGCCTTGAGGCATGAAACATATGTACCAAATATGCCAAAGATGTCTACAAAATTATCTCAGTTATTATTAAAAAACTGATTATTTTTGAAAACTTTGCTACCCTGTATCTCAAAAGTCAAGGCGTTTTGACATACGTCCATAGGACGTTTTTTCGTCTAAGAAAAATCTCCTTAAATATTAGCATGTGTTTAAAGAACACCCTGTATAAAGATTGTCTGTGAGTTTTTAATATTTTATTGTGAGCTCTATAATGTTTTTATGAGTTTTAATACTATATGTTTTGACTAGTCTGATAAGTTTTGTACCATTGTGTAAAAAACTTCAATGATGAATAAATCATCTGTATTGATTTATTCATGATTCGTTACCTTTCAGTTTTCCCCGTACCCATTCTCGAAACGAAACAGATCCAGGCACAGCAACACAAACAGCTTGTTAGACATGACGAATACTTCGGAGAGCGACTCTCCTAAAACGCCCCCGAAATCAGTCGTCTCAAAGAAAAAGCTCCTACTGGAAAAAATGCTTCAATACCGAAATGCGAAGACCGAGTCTGTGACCCCCTCTAGCACCTCGTATCCTACAGAGAGGGACGAAGAAAAAGTTGCGAATTCGCCAGCTGTCAAAGTTTCTCTCCCGATCAGCTCCAAAGGGAAAAAGATACTGGAGCAGATGAAGAGGAAGGGTAGAGAGAGAGAGAAAGAGGACTCTGAAGTGGAAACGCCAAAGTCAGCTGGTATGTTTTGTTGATTTTTCGTTTTGGATTTTAGTTGTTAGACAGAGGTATTATTTATTTTTTTTATAAGCCATGAGAGTATTCATGTTATTATACGTTTCCATTAAGCAATAAAAGTTGTTCTCGTTATTAGCTGATGTGTTTTTATAGTCAATCCAGATTTCATACTGAGGATACTCAAAGTTGGTCTGCAATAGTTTATTTTACCATCCACAGAAATCTATTTACTTGATAATTTCGTTTATTTAATGATAATTTCGTTTCTGAGACGTACAGTCCAGTTTTTTGGCTGATCGAACTATTTCTATCTCGGTAGGTTGAATTGGAGAAAAGTATCATATTTAACAGAACGAGAACAGTCTCTTTCAGATCGGGAATATCGGTGTCTGTTTCTGAAATACTCGCCAAAAAACTCGAGATGTCGAATTTCGTTTTTCGGCTCTACTGCCTCCATTTAGAAGTAGATGGGCAAGGCGGGAACGAGCCCACTTCAAGGTCGTGCGTCAAGTGTTTCAGAGAGAAACGTGTGACGTCATCGGCGCAGAATGGAATGAGTATCGTAGCTATTCAAGCGTGGAACTCGGCCCCCTTAGTACTCCACATCACCGATCGGCCCCCCTTGAGATTCCGCCTCACCCCTCGGCCCCCTTGTCACGTTCCAGTCACGTGATCCTAATTAAAAAAAGTTTATATTTATGAGAATAGAACCCAGGACGTCCGCGTGGTAGACATTGTTTTTCGTGTTTCCATATGACAGTAATCTATCATTTAACGCATTCCGCTAACCAAGTACGCATCATCAGGAAGTGACCAAAGTCCGTGCTTAGTCGTATGAAGGTTCTTTTTGCGAATTTTCAGACTCCTGAACGGAACCTTGTGGAACACTAAGCCTAACTTCTGTTACAGAGTGGTGTCGGTCAGCCAATCAGAATGGAGGAATCAAATATCGCTCGATTGATTGTGTTAGATGAAATTGAACTGAAGAACGAGGGTCGAATAATAATAATAGTGATAAAACATTAAAACTTTGAAAGTGACGTAGTCAGCGTGGGAGGTGACTACGTCACCACAATAATTCCGCTACATGAAGTTGGTGGTCTTGACAACCCAGCTAATTTTAGGCCAATTGCTTTGCTACCTGTCTTGTCTAAAGTTATAGAAAAACCGGGAAAAAACCAAGTAATATTCTTCCTCGAGAAAAACAATATAATAAATTTATTCCCGTTTGGGTTTCAGTCTTCGAAAGGTACACAAGGCGCTATATTTCCATTCCTGGAAAACCTGTACACCAATCTCAATGAAAGGGAATCTGCTGCGGCTATGTTTTGTGACCTATCCAAGGCCTGCGACTCTTCGCTAGCTAGAAGTTTACAGATTTAGAGAACCTGCTTTACTTTGATTTGAGACGTACCTTTCTCATCGGTGGCAGAATGTTCTATTGAATGGAATTTCATCAGAGTAACGTTTCATTGACTGTGACGTCCCACAAGGTTCCGTTTTGGGGCCGGTGTTGTTCTCATTTATGTCAATGACTTAGTCCATGTTAACATAAGTGGTAGTTCACATGTTTTGTTGACGACACCACTATCCTAGACATAAGGAAGGTGAAAGAGTGGTGTGATTTCAATCTTTTCAACAAACTGATGATAAATAAGGAAAAATCACAAAACATGATTGTTCCTATGGCTTCGCCATTACCTGAATTCCAGTGTGTCAAATTATTGATCTTCACTCTGGACAATAGGCTAAATTGGTCAACCACAAATTTCACTAGGCTGAATATAGTGTTTTGCTCACTCATACAGTCTCACATTTCTTATGGAATTCTACTTTGGGGAAATTCTAGTGATGCCCAGTGCATTTTTATATTACAGTTAAAGTTTTGAGAATAGGGATAGAGTCAAAAACCGAAACTCGACATCTCTAGTTTTTGGCGAATATTTCAAAAACAGACACCGATATCGTCGATCTGAAAAGAGACTATTCTGGTTTCTCAAAATAGGAAACATTTATCCAATCAACTGACCATGTATGTCTTACCATTTCCAACATACCAATAGCTTAAAAAAAAGAGCTGTATATTACCTATTATATATATATATATATATATATATATATATATATACAAATTTGTGGAGATCAAATCATGAGGTGTAGTTTATGAAATAACTATGGATCTTCATCAAGTAACGGCCGAATCAATCAGAAAAAAAAATTGCAGATTAACTTCACATATCTTCAGCATAACCATGTTTTTTTGTTTTTTTTTTAATGCAGCAACAGTTACGGTCACTTCCAGCAACTTTACTGGGACTGAAGGTAAGATAAACATATTTTTTCCTCTTTTTTTTTCCAGTGTTTGTTGTTCTGTCACAATTTTTTTGTTCCACATTCTGGTTTATATTGTTCATTTGTTCTGTTGAAATATTTTGGAGTATTTTCAAGCATTTGTAGTTAGATCAGTTAGTTCAGTTAGATCTGAATCCTTTTTTTTTTTAATTGAATGACGATGTCGGATAATCAATAATTTTCGTGTTTTAGGTGCCAGAAAATTCAATTTTGTTCCAGGAGGTTCAGAGAGATCATATTTCAACGTGGGAGCTAAGAAAAACACGAATCGATATTCATATGGTGAGCATTTTCAAGAAAATATACATATATAATAGATTTCGAAATGAAAAACTAAATTTTTTTACCATTCAGCGTACATTTTCTGTCAATTTCTCATAAACTGTAACACATAAATAATATTCTTCTAGTACAGATAAAAAAAGACCACTAACTGAACTAAAATGAATAAATAAACATATACGAGTGATAACATCTCAGGTAGACGTATGAGGTTTGTTAAAAAAATAAGGTGAATGTTTCAAATTTCGCATTTTTTTAATTTTTTTTATGTTGGTACACTCGTGTCGAACATATGTTGACAATTTCAACAAATAAATTTTCAAATGATAAACAAATAATAAAACAAAAAGTTACATTGGAAATAAATTTTAGGGGTTGCGTTTTCCACCCCTTACAACCATGGGGTAAACCAAATAAATTACTGGCAAACTGTCTTTTTGGTAGTACAAAACGTCAGGTTAATTTCAATATTGTAACTTTTTCAGTGCTTGTGAAAAAAATTGTTATACAAATTTTATGTACCCCCTTTAAGGGGCTGTATCTTAACAAGGGATACTCCAATGAAGTTTCTTTATATGAAAGATCCTATCTTTTTTTCGATGAAGAATCACCTCCCTAAATGTTTTATACTTATCCAGTTACACCCTGTATATCTGCATTGCACTTTCAGTGTTGACTTCATTGGCCGCCATCTTCTAATTTTTCATCGAATTTGTATTTTTACCCGTCTGCATATTAATTTTGAATGTTTACAGAAAATTCTAGCACCCAGTACAGCTCTGAAGATTCATCGAGTTGTAGAAACGTTCGCCAGAAGCGACAATCACCTAAATCAGTTGTGCCGCATCAATCAAAAATAACTTGCAACGCTACGATGCATCCCAAAAAATCATTGAGTGAAGCACCCTTGTCCGAAGTGCCATCCAGTGAAGCGGCCTTGTCCGAAGGGCCATCTAGTGAAGCGCCGGATAATCTTGTCGAAGATGTCTCTCCTGAAAATTCCTCCGGCGTGTCAGAAGTCGACAATAAATCATCAGTTTCGACTGATTGTAAGGCTGCTGAAGGTATGTTACATATGTCTTATATTTAGTTTATAAGTAGGCAAGATAGCTCAGGAAAAAAGTTCTCCTCTCTTTTATAAAGTGCGCTATGAGGTGAGCTGTATAGTAGTGAGTTTAATTTTACAGTGTAGTCAATTAAAAAAAGAAGTTAATTTGAGGTTCATATAAAATTCTTTCGTTTCTAGTGACTGTCTGAAAGTGTTAGTTTATCCCCTACAAATTATTTTTAAACGTTTTTTTAAGAACGTCTGTTTTTCCTGAAGTCTGGAAAACTACCAAAGTTAGTCCGATACACAAAGATCAACATCGAAATGAAATCAGTAATCACAGACCTATCTTTTCCATCCTCAACAACTTTGCCAAACTTCTAGAAACAATCTTGTATAGCCGTATCTATTAGTCCTCTCCACATTCATATCCGAATATCTACATGGTTTAATGAATTCTAGACTCACAATTACGAATGTAGCTGTTTTTGATCAATATTTGTGCGAATCGTTAGACCGTAGAGGACAAGTCGATGTAGTAAAAATCAACCAGTAAGTACACTCCCACTACTCTCACTCATAAATTCACAAAGTTCTCGGTGACCTCGAAACGAACTGCGGAGCCAATTTCCTTCTTTTACCATAGGCGTGCGCTCATACAGCTGATACACCCCCCTAAAATTTGAAGTTGTAAACCGATTTTAATAATTTTTTTTTGAAATGTCAAGTACTAAAAGGTCTACCTTGGGACAAAATTTGAAATGTTTATTGTGTTGTGTTATATGTCTACAATTTAAGGATATTATAAAAGATTTTGTGGTAAGTTACTTATAACCAACTACAAAAACTTAAAACAATAATAACAGCGAATGAAGTAAACACAATATCAATTTCCGACCGTTTATTATAACTAATCTGATGCCCGTGGTACCGTCGAATCCTTCGATACTACAGCACTGAACGCGATGGATTAGAATCCCATCCTAAGAGCGGTGGAAGATCCCCAGCAACTCGAGCGGATCACGTGGTAAGAGAGCTTACTGGTTGTATTATTCTACTGTGTCGATGGGGTATACACAGACTTCTCTAAATCATTCGATAGGATCAGTCATAAATTACTCATTCGTAAAATGTATACTATCGTAGCTTCTCTTCAAATATGTACTTAGCCACTAGCGGGGTCCCGCGAGGATCTATTCTTGACCCCTTATCGTCTTCATTATCTATTAAGATATATTCAACTCACTAACCTGCAGTAGATTAGTGTTTGCTGATGATTTGAAACTCATCACATCTATGAACAGTTCAGAGGACTGCACTCCTTTCATTAATCATCTTGGTAATCTTGTGTGCCTTGTTTTCCAGTGTAGCAAATTTTCTAGACCTCACCATTGCCGTTTCTTTCCATCTTTCACTCTCTCTCTCCTGTCTATTTCTATCCATTACTTTTCTCAGGTAATGGAAATAACGTCAACACCATGAAGATCAAACCGCACTGCTCTTGCAAACAATGCGACCACTGGACACAAGAAGAAAACTTTTGGAAGGGCACATCTTTCCAACCAAAAGTGGCCAAAATCGTCGAAGGCGACAAACAGGTCCTTTTCAGAGAGAAAGAAGACGTGCAGAACGAAGTCAACATCGTTTCCTTCGACTATTCCTCGCTGTCGAAGATCGACAAACAATCCATGGCCAAAGTACTAGTCCACAGGTAAGTGGGAATTCCATCTGCGATTTGTTGCGCCTCAGAGTTCGATTCTGGGGCCCCTTATCGTCGCCGTTTACACTCGTCCAACTTTTAATTGTTGTTTTCTCAGCGAGAGCATTCCGAATCCAGCCCGCGTCATCTCTAAAGTGTCCTTTCACAGAGACATCCACCGCAGTCTCGTTCATTTAAACTATAAGGAAGCGAAACGAATCCAGTCGTTTGCTTGGGCTGCGCTTTTCCGCAACCAGCACGTCTGTATGGTGCATGGGCCGCAAACTGGCAAGACTATGGCCTATTTGCCGGTGATGTGCTCCTTCATTCTCGACAAATCCGACAGGTGAGCTGATACATAGAATTGAAACCTCTGGCTTCAGACTAATCTGATGAAAACACTATTTCCACACCAAATCTCAACCCACTGTATATTAACTCAGTAAATGAAACGCTCTAACTCAGTTGTGGGAACAGTGTCTTATTCTGGCGTAGGAAAATGTTTTCAATAGATTATGACTGGTGAATTTCATCTCCATGCAGCTGTGTGCGAGTTGATCAACTTTTTTTTGGTAGGTACGAATCGCTGTTGAACATTTCCGGAGGTCCTATAGTCGTCGTGCTTTGCAGTAGCTCGAAAAAGTGCGAGGAGGTCTATGATCTCGCCAAGATTCTACTGGGGAGGGCTAGGGTGAAGGTTCATTTAATCACTTATCCTTTGGGGCACGTAAACGCTGTGAGTATACATTATTTTCGGAATATTCATACTGAGGATGTTACAGACTAAGAATTTGTACTAGGTTCAGAGACTGGAATTTGAAATCTCCACACTAATAAAGACATTTGAGCCTAATGCCAATTTGTTCCGATTTTTGAACTTTTAGCCACATTTTAGTTTAGAGTAGTCTTTCTTAAAGTGGGCGATAATGCCCCCTTGTGGGCTCTGGAGGCCTATAGGAGGGCAGTAAAGGACACAGAGAGGATTGGGGGGGCGTTGAAGCGCTTTAGGGGGGCGATGACTAATTTAAAAATGCTTTTTTGCTTTTAACACAAATTTTACCGCTCCTTTACGCTTAACGCGCGTTTCCTCGTGTAACGCCATCTAGGGGACTAGACAGTAACTATTTCCTGTCCGATAGTTGTCAAACTGTACAATAGATGGCGGTAAGCTTCAATGAGAAGCTAGAAGTTTCTAGTCTCCATTCTCGAAAGTACTAGGCCCGCTCACTGCCTCGTGTGGTGGTGAATACTGTAAGTGGTGTCATCAACAAGTTTTTAATACTCGATTCTTTACTTTGGCATTTTTAAAGACAAAATTATGTCGGAAGCAAAAAAGAAGAAACGGCAGTATAGCGCGGAATATAGAAAATATGAATTTATTGAAAATCCCACAAATCCATCTTCGCCAATGTGCCTTCTTTGTCAAAAAACATTTTCCAATGAAGCGATGAAACCCTCAAGGCTAGAAGATCATTTGAATAAAATGCATTCGGATAAAAAAGACAAAAGTGTGACTTATTTTCAAGAACTTGAAAACAAGCACTCGGCTCAGCCAACTGTGTCAAAACTTTTTTCAACGGCTACTAAGCAAGACGATGACGGACTCCAAGCTTCCTACAATATCTCCTTGTTAATTGCTCAAACAGGTGAACCTCACACTATTGGAGAGGATTTAATTTTATCGGCAATGAAAGAAGTAATAACTACTGTGCCCCATAAACCAGCGGCAAATATTATCTGAAAAATTCCTTTGAGCAATAGTTCCGTGCAAAGAAGAATTGATGAGGCTGAAAACATTGAAGAGTCAGTTAGATGAGTCAACTTTACCAACAAATGAAGCATTTTTGTTGTCATACGTGAGGTTTATTAAAAATGAGAAAGTATATTAAGAATTACTATTTGCCAGAAATTTTGAGACGGATACAAAAGGAGAAACCATATATAATACACTGGAAAAATTTTGTGATGAAAAGAAATTCCACTGAAAAATATTATATCAGCTGCTACGGATGGCGCTCCGGCTATGACAGGACGTCACAAAGGCTTCATAGCATACTTAAAAAAAAAAAAACAGATGTGCTCGCTGTACATTGCGTCATTCATAGGCAACATTTGGCTGCGAAAAATTTGAGTGAGCGCCTCTCTCAATCACTGCAATCAAAGCAGTCAATAAAATCCGAAACAGCTCTTTAAATGACAGAATATTTTATCAGCTTTGTGTTGCTAATGATGAAGCTTTTAACTGATTGCTATTTCACACAGAAGTGCGTTGGTTATCAAGAGGTAACTGTCTGACTCGATTTTACAATCTATTTGACTCTGTAATAGAGTTCTTGGAAAACAAAGACAAAGAATTGCACGACAACCTCATCACTTCAAAGAATAATATTGCGTACTTGAACATTGCTTACAGAACATTTTAAAATTGGAAATACAGGACTGGGTGTTTTACATCACCCTCATCAGAAAGTCTTATTTTCACATGACACACATAATTTAATTATCAAAATTATGACTGCGATTGTAATTCTTAAAATGTAGTAAAGTAAAAAAATTTGGGGGGGCGCTAGAAAATGATTAATTCTCGAAATGGGCGATAGACAAAATAAGTTTGAGAACCTCTGGTTTAGAGGAAGGTGATCTCTTCATTTTCAGTCATAATAGTAGTTCCAAATAGTGTATATCTGTTAATTCAGTCGACGAATAATTTTTTTTTACAGAGTCACATCGACCTGTTGGTAACAACCCCTCTGGTCTTGGACGACCTTCTGAAATCGAACGCCGTTAACTTCAAGCGCCTCTGCCACTTGATTCTTGACGACGGAGACAGATTATTGAACAGGCACTTCGTCACGATGCGCAAGATTTTCGCTCTGACGCAGTCGGTTCTGGCAAATCGCGTCTACTCGAAAACAATCCAGCTGATAGTTTGCGCAGAACACTGGTCCTCCAGGATCTGCGATCTGCTCAAAAGTCTGCAGCAGATTCCGATGGTTTGCATAGGGAATTTTTTGGAAGCCGCTCTCTACGGCAAGATGGAGTTCTCCATGAAATTCATCAACTCGGCGTGCAAGGAAGCCGAATTGAAAGGTAATATTGAATTAGGTTAGGCCACATTCTTTTGCTTTCATGTTTTTGCCAGTAGTTTGATATATTCAGCTTTATTGACTACTGTCTTGAGTAAACTTTTTTTTTTTCTTTTTATATTTTCGTTTTAAAGAACATTCTGTACTATCAGCCATGTTCGGGAGGACGTCGAAGTGAGCGACATCTAGGTTTAATAATTTTAACATCTTGTGGGATAAAAGCCAGTGCAATCTCAAATATTTGTTATTACATTCATCTTTTGTGATTTTTTCCAATAGAAATATGATAGACGGCTCATCGTCATCATACTAATAAATACAAGTTTTATTCAGTATTATACGAGGTGAATTTCAAGATAGTCCTTCTAATTGATTTTATCTGGTTTAACTTTAATGATCTTGAGCCATTTAACTTCTTCCATCTGAGATATTTGCTTGTTGATTGAGAAATTTTACAGAATATATATAATATTCTAGTACATAGCCAAAGATATCCAATAACTCAAATAAGAGTTTGCACTCATAGTAGCAGGGGAGCCCACGATGCTAAATGGGGATTTACTCGAGCGTCAATAATTTGACGATTTCGATCTGACGCAAACTCGCGGCCATTATTATAATGTTCAAAAAAAAATCGCCATTTTGAAATACTCAAGCGCGTCAGATTAAGATATATATAGTTCATTTTTATGTTTTAGACGTGCTGTCTCATAATCTGACGATTATCTAGAGGGATTCGCTTAATCTGACAAAAACAATTTTTTTTTTCAATTCATTGAACTTAATTGAAAGGCTCAAGAAATGGCATGAAAATAAATAAGTGTATGTTTTCTAAGTAGAATACTTGTATTTATAAGAAAATAATTTTTAAAAAATGCTGAAAAAAATTCATTTCATAATCAATTGATTTATTAATGAAGAAAAGAGAAATGAAACTACATCTATCAATTAATTGATTATTTAATCATCATCTTCATCACGAACGAGTCTCTGTGATCAGCTGTGATGGCGTCATGGCAACATAATTCAGAGTGGGGACGGAGTGAGAGAGTAATAGATAGAGAAAAAATGAATAGAGAATAGAGGAATAGAAACTCGGAGAGGGAAATATAGGTATCACACAGCTTCACACATTAAACTTTATCGACGAATTTTTGTTATTTCGGCTTGCGGAAATCGTCAGATTATATATTTTTCGTTATCCTTGAATTATTTCCTTCAGAATAAAAAAAATAGCTACGCTCTAGAATGTCGAAATGGCGTCATTTTTTTACAACTTTGCTGCCCTCCCCTTTCTTTACGTCACTCTCAAATTGTCAGATTACTGGAATATACACTTTTTAGCAGGTAATTAACTCGCCCTACCTTAATCTGACGCGCTCGAGAATTTCTGATGATCCATTTTTTTACTAATCTGATCCTTTATCCTTCACGGGCGGCCTTATATATGGGGCTCATATTTGGTGGAGGTACTTAACCGGGTACAAGGTATCCCCCTGTATATTAATCTGCCGCGATTTAGTAAATCCCGAAATCCCCGCTTGAACTCCCCTATAATAGTTGCTTATTTCTCTATCATTTTATTATCCCTGGGTAAACCAACATTTACCTTGAAGTTTCTACAGAAAAATGTTCGACTTGAAAGGTTTTTTAAAATTTTAGCGTTGCTGAAGGAGACCCATAAAATATACAGATCGATCGTGGTATGCAAAGAAGATGAGCTTCAACACGTTGAGACCATTATGATATTGAAAGGTATCGATTACACGGTGATATCGCAGGACATGACAAAGGAGGACATTTTTTACATGGAGGAAGTTTGGACGCAAGCCAAAGGGGGACAGTATTCAGGTAGATTTGAAAGACCATTCTGAAAATTTTAATAAGGCGTTTTCTGTCGCAGTTTTAGTATGTTCGGATTTTATCCTCAACACCATGCTATCCGTGACTTGCGCGTCTCAGTTGATCCATTACTCCCTTCCATCTTCCTGGACCAAATTCGTTAAGCGTTTCGGTTGCTTGCTTGAAAACTGCAAGAGCCCCCTGGACGGCAAAGAGGTGAGTATCATTTGTTGCAACAACTCTATCTAGTTATTTGTGAATTGAATGTGTAGGTTAGAACGGTATCTCGCAGCGTGGTGCTCTGTGACGAAACGTGCGAAAACGAGATGCACAAGTTTTTCAGCTACATGAATTCGACAGAGCTACAGCACCAGCTGCCCGATAAACTCCAGAAATACTCGGCGGATTTGAAGGCCGTAGAAGAAGAAGAGAAGGTCACCAAAGCCGTCGGGCTGTGTAACGATCTCAAGTTGTTCGGCAAGTGCTTGGAAAATCGTTGTCTGAGGAGGCACGTCGTCAACGAGGCGTTGGATGTTTCGAACTTCCTACCGAAAAACGGGCAGATTAAGTTCAAAATCGTCCAAGTGCAAGACGTCTCGTGCTTCTCAATTACGTTGCTGCAGCATGAAGACGGCAGAAGTAAAGTCGAAGACGTCTTCGTAGACGTCACCGAGGAATTGACGGCGACTCTGAAGATCACCAGGAAGAAAATTCACAATCCGATCGTAGGGCATAGGTACGCTTTTTACGACTTCGAAGATCGGGAAGGGACCTATCACAGATGCGAATTATTGGACGTCGATAACGACGAAGCTAAAATCAAACTGTTGGATAAAGGTTCCGTTATTAGTACGGCGGTAGCCAGATTGTTCCGCTTGCCGAGAGAGTTTGATGAAGAAAACAAACCTAGAACGGGTACGAACAAGTTGAGTTTTTAAGAGTATTTCTACTATAATATTTGTTTTAGTTATTGACGCGTATTTAGCGAACTTTATTCCTCCATTTATGGATGAAAATTATTCAGCCAAGTCTTATTATAACGTGAAAAATTTGTTGGAACAACACAATTACAAAGAAGTCATATTTTCCGGGGAAGTTCATCTCCAGCTCTCCAACACTCTGTGGTTAAAGAACGTCTACGAAGAGGTTACCTTATCCGATAGGTAACTATTAACGATATTTTCTGTGAGAGTTTCTACTTACACTCGTTTCAGGGTCATTTCCGGTTTCCAGTTGAACAGGGAGATTTTATTAAAAAAACTGGCGGTTCACAGCAATGACCAGTTGCACCACCTGTACAAATTGTGCTTAGACGCTGGCATAACTCTTCCTACTTACGAAAGGAAACGCGTCGCTGTTGTCGACGACGTTGAAGAAAAAATCGTTCTCCAATGGGCATATCTCGACAACGAATGTCCCGAAGAAGTTGTCTTCTTGGCGGCCGTTTCGCCAGACGAGATATACGTGAGGTTGAATAAATACAGCGATTTGTAAGTATGAATTGTGCCCATATTTGGACATTGCCGTAATGGTTTCAGGTGTGGGGTTCTAATTGGTGTCAGGTGTGGGGTTAGAATTTGGTGTCAGGTGTGGGGTTAGAATTTGGTGTCAGGTGTGGGGTTTAAATTTGGTGTCGATGTGGAGCTTTCAGGTGTTGGGTTACTCAATATTGTTACATGAAATTGGTGTTCAATGTGAAATTATATTTGTCTTTTGTGACAGGGAGTGGTCAAATGGGAATGCCAAACGTGTTATTTCTCAACACTTATATATGATGGATAAATAAGTTCGCTCAGCTTCACAAACATTCATTTTCATCTAATAATTGTTGAAGTACAGAATTAGAAAGCTACATAGTTTCATAAGCAAGCTTCAACATTAAAAGCATTTTCTCTCTCCCTCTTTTGTTTTTCCATCTATAAACCTTTTGCTATCATCTATAGTTCAAAATATTTTTGAAATTTTTTAACAGATTTTTAACAGAATAACACGAAGCAGAACCTGAAAAAATTAACTTGAAAAACTTGAAGAAAAGAATGAATTCTCACCAAAAGCATATTTAGTAATGCTAATTACATCATTAAATGGAGCAAGACTTGAACTTGTATAAGAATAGTAGCTGCAATACTTTTATTGCATTGCACCATTTTGTGTCGACTTCAAAAATTTCAGACGTAGGTTTTAATTTCAATGATTGTGTCAGTCGTGTGATAATATATTGAATCTGTTGCGGGGTAGGATTCATCTTTGAATTTCGTCTCAGGAATGGAATTTGCGATAAATGTGCAATTCTTCCAGGTTATACACCCTCCAGAAAGACATACAAAATGCAGTTTCGAAACCTCACTATCCCAAACTCAACCTGGCGAAGATAGGTAGCGTCTACCTCGCCAAAGATCCCGAAGGGTTGGAGTACGGCCGTGTCTTGATTTTGAATAAGGAAGAAGACAAAGTATTGTGCTTTTTCGTCGATTTCGGCGACGAAGCGGTTGTACCGGAGAAAGAACTTAAATTCTTGTCGAACCAATATATCACGAGACTTCCCTTCCAAAGCATCCAATGCAATCTTCATGGAATCAAACCAGTTTCGAAGGAATGGGATAGCGAAGTTACCGACATGCTTTACGATTATGCGATGGAGCCGCAGACTGATATTTTTAGGTCGCTGTACGTGAAAGTTTTCGAAAAAGGAACCCCTTCGATACACGGCCAGAAGAAGTATTCAGTTTTGCTCAAGGATGGGTTTGGAGAAAAGAAAAAGTTGATCAATCAGTTGTTAATTGAATGCGGTTTTGCTGTTCCCAGTTGTGAATTTGTCGAAGACTTCGAGATACCCGCGTCCCAAGACGGCGAATCTGATGATTCTGACGTAGAGGAGGTGGTAGTGTCGAAAGAGGAGGTTGATGAGGTTAAAAACCGAGCCGTTCTCAATGTGGACGAGTTTGAGTTGTTTTTTGATGAAGAAGATGAATACGCCGAAAAGAAATTTTTCAAACAGGTTGGTAGTGTTCAGATTGTTCTTCTATTACATACTTCTAGTTGGAAAAGTTTTTGGATAAACCGATGAGTGTGAATGAACTATTTTGCTGGTTTTTTTGTCGTAGTTTGCAGGTTTTTATGCTTGGCGTTTCGTCTACAATTGCATCCATATGAAACCGGAGATCCAAACCCCGAACTATGTACCTTAAGCACCACGCCCGTTGACTCATCGCCATCCATGTATTCCGCAGTTGTAGACGAAACGTCTGACCCAAAACCCTGCAGATCACAGAACAAATTCGAAAGACAGTTTTGACGCACAATTGTTTCCGACTGTTGACAGTTTACACAGTTTCAGATAAATACACACAGTTGAATTCATTTCCGAATCTTGACGGCGCTCGCGATTTACTTTCAGATAATGACAGGACAAATCGAACCATCGCAGACTCCGATCCAACGCGAGTTGCCGCCCATAAAAGCTGCTCCGGCTACGGACTACTTCACACCCGACGTTTACTGGTCTCAAACCGATGACGTCGTTAGACTCATCATCAAACTGACCGACGTCTCCGATTACAAATTGAAGCTGACCAAATCGAGGATTTTGAATTTCAGGTAAGGTAACGAATGAATCAAAAATGGCAGTAATTTAGCAACAGGAATTCCAGCCCAAAATCCCATGTATTTTCTTATGGAGCTTAATTTTGGCGTTTTTTGGACCTTAGACCCACTTCACATGGAAGGGGTAAAGGTCAGCGCCTTGTATGTGCCAGGCGTCCATTATGTGTAAACTGAGCCTTAGCCTTAAAAGCCCACTCAAGACCACCTCTACTTTTCCACTTTTACCGTCATTCAGTCGACCAATCAGAAGCTACCGCTCATACAGCGGGAAATTCAAACCACCGAGAAAAAAAATTAACAATATGCAATAAAGTCTTGAGATACTCGTAAACTAATACATAGACAATCAAAATAAATAGGTTTACTATTATTTATCTAGTGAGCACTTAATTAGCACTTCGACCACGCCACTCAAGATGACTGCCGCAGTTGTAGTCGAAACGTTTGGAGATTATTACCAAAGACGAACACGACAGAAAACGTTTGTTTGAAGGTGATTGACAATGTTTCGTGATGAATTTCACTAGTTCGGACTTCCATTGTCTATTATATAAAATGATTTGAAATCCCTGAAACAAGTAAAAAAGAATAATTAAAAAAGAATAGTTGAAAATAACAATTATATTAAGCAACAATAAACCTGAAATGAAATGATAGTGAAATAACCTACAAGTAAAAATATAATAATTGAATAAATAAAA